AAGGGAAAAAACCCCCCAAAAAAAAAAAAAAAAAAAGAAGCATACCATGGGGGGCCGGCAGATGGCGTGGTGGTTAAAGGCACTGGATTCCTACATGGCTGAGTACAGTTCAAGTCCTGGACCTGGCAGCTTGTTTTCTCCCTTTCTCTGTTTCTCTCTCTGGTCAAACTAAAAAATAATAACAAATGTAAATAAGTAAATAAATAATTCTTTAAAAAAAAAATAAAAGCAGCAGCAGCATACCATGGCCTGACCACTGTGGCACAGCGGTAATGCTGAGCCTGCAAGGCTGGAAGCCATATGGCCAACCATGGGCTCAGATCCCCAGATTGGCTTGAAAACTCACCAGGCGTGTGCACAAGCACCCAGGATCCCAAGAAGCTGGAGGGCTGAAGAAAGGGGATAGTGGTGTGATGAGAGCATGCCGAGAGTACTTCTCTTATGTACTCTATCATGAAAGGGGGCGGGCTGAGCATGCCAACTGCTCGAGTTGTTTTTTGATGCTTTTTAAAAGTGATCTTCCTGTGCTGCTGTGGAGCCTAAAGCACTGACCGGTTTCTAGACTATTCTGTCTGAACTGCAGCCCCTGGCCACCTGGGTGTGCTGAAAAGTACAGGCTAAGCTCCTGCAGAGCGACTCCGGCCACCTGCATCTGGGCTGCTCAGCCCCAGCAACACGCCCTGCTGGCCTGGAGCCTGTGTTCTGTAGTCAACCCCAACCTAGAAACACTGTCCTGGGCTTCCAGGGACTTGGACACCCTTGTTCTCTCAAGCCTTCATTTGGTTTCCCTCTTTCACCACGTGGAGCCCATTCTTCCTCCTCTTCACCTCTCTGTCTCCCTGCAGGTCCAGCTGCAGCTGCTGACAGCCATCGTGAAACTCTTTCTGAAGAAGCCAACAGAGACCCAGGAATTGGTGCAGCAGGTCCTCAGTTTGGCCACTCAGGTGGGTTTCCATCCTCCCTGCAGCACCCACCACAGCCCGAGCTCCAGAGGGCGAGCTTTGGTCCAGGAACCAGTCCTACCCCCTGAAATTGATCTCTTTGGTGGTTTGGCCTCAGCAAAATCCAAGATCCTTGCCTTCAGAGAGCTCAAAGTCCACAAACAACAAAGAGTGGAGTGAGACTGGGGCCCAGCAGGTGGCGTGGTTGAGGCTCTGGACTCCCACATGACTGACCATGGTTCAGGTCCTGAACCTGGGGCTTGCTTTCTTACTCTCTCTTTCTCCCTCTCTGTCTCTCTTTGGTCAAAATGGAAGAAAAATGATAATAAATAAAATTAAAAATAAATAAATCTTATGAGAAAGAAAAAAAAAGGAGTGGAGTTGAGTGTTGAAGTTGAGACAGAGCAGAGAGAGGCCCAGGGCAACCAGAGAGTTTGCATGAGGGAAGAGAGGGCCGACTGTTGGGAAAAAGATAGGCAGGTGTGTCCTGCTCGAGGCCGGGCTAGAGTAGAAAACGGAATGAGCCAGGGCGCCGGGTCGTACCCGCTGAGGGACAGGTTCCTAGGAGGTGTGCTGTCACACCTGGGTCAGGGACCACAGGAGGGCCTCCCACTTACCCTCACCCACTTCCTCTGCTCCTATGTCACGGACTTCTCGCCCCCCACCCCAGGACTCAGATAACCCGGACCTGCGGGACCGAGGCTACATCTACTGGCGTCTGCTTTCCACGGACCCGGTGGCTGCCAAAGAGGTGGTGTTGGCTGAGA